CTTACATTTTTTTTAGGTGTGTACCGCCTGCCGAATCCTAATCCAGATTGCCACATTCCTGAACTTCCAGGTAGGAGAGCGTGCATCCTGAGTGCTTCATATGCACAGTACATAACAAAGGGTCAATCTCTAAGCAATCTCAAGCAGAACGGATGGGGAAAAGAGGAGCAGCTTGAAGCTGGGGTCTACAGTGGGGATTCGAAAGTTTGGGCACCCCCCGCTAAAAATTTGTATTAATGTGCATAAAGAAGCCAAAGAAAGATGGAAAAAATCTCCAAAAGGCATTAAATTACAGATTAAACATTCTTATAATATGTCAACACAAGTTAGATTTTATTTCCATCATTTACACTTTCAAAATAACAGAAAACAAAAAAATGGCGTCTGCAAAAGTCTGGGCACCCTGCAGAATTTTATAGCATGCACTGCCCCCTTTGCCAAGCTGAGACCAGCCAGTGTCATGGATTGTTCTCATTCATCGTCTGGGAAGACCAGGTGGATTATGTCAAGCTCAAAGGTTTTAAATGCCCCAGACTCATCTGACCATGCCCCAACAATCAGCACCATGGGTTCTTCTAAGCAGTTGTCTAGAAAACTGAAACTGAAAATAGTTGACGCTCACAAAGCTGGAGAAGGCTATAAGAAGATAGCAAAGCGTTTTTCAGATGTCAATATCCTCTGTTCGGAATGTAATTAAGAAATGGCAGTCATCAGGAACAGTGGAAGTTAAAGCAGAGATCTGGAAGACCATAGAAAAATATCAGACAGAACAGCTCGCAGGATTGTGAGAAAAACAATTCAAAACCCACGTTTGACTGCACGGATCCCTCCAGAAAGATCTGGCAGACACTGGAGTTGTGGTACACTATTCCACTATAAAGAGATACTTGTACAAATATGGTCTTCATGGAAGAGTCATCAGAAGAAAACCTCTTCTACGTCCTCACCACAAAAATCATCGTTTGAACTTTGCAAATGAAACATATAGACAAGCCTGATGCATTTTGGAAACAATTTCTGTGGACCGATGAGGTTTAAAATTGAACTTTTTGGCCGGAATGAGCAAAGGTACGTTTGGAGAAGAAGGGGGCACAGAATTTAATGAAAAGAACCTCTGTCCAACTGTTAAGCATGGGGTTGGATCAATCATGCTTTGGGGTTGTGTTGCAGCACCTAGTGGCACAGGGAACATCTCACGAGTAGAAGGAAAAATGGATTCAAAAAAATGTCAGCAAATTTTGGATGGTAACTTGATGCCATCTGAAAAAAGCTGAAGTTAAAGAGAGGATGGCTTCTACAAATGGATAATGATCCTAAAACAAGCTCGAAATCCACGGGGGATTACATCAAGAGTTGTAAACTGAAGGTTTTGCCATGGCCTTCACAATCTCCTGACCTCAACATCATTGAAAATCTATGGATAGACCTTAACCTCCTTGGCGGTATTCCCGAGTGTAGCTCGGGGTAACATTTCAGTACCAAAAGCAGTAACCCCGAGCTACACTCGGGAAATACCATGCGGCACTGCTCCGGCATTGTGTTCTTCACTTACCTTACCCTGCGCTATCCCACGATGTGTCCCCTGCAGCGTCCCCGGCCATCTCCTCCGGCCGGTGCCGGCATCCGGCTTCTGTGTCCTGTTCCCTGTGACGTCGGACGTACGGGCGCCGCCGCCGCCGGCGGCGGGAAATTTAAAAATTTTAAAAAATGTCATTTTTTTTTTTTTTTCATTTTACACAGTAAAACATTGCTGTTTCAAACCTATTTCACATACATATTGTCCCTAGTGCTTTGTTTCCTGCGCCCCTGCCTGCATTTTGTCTGTTCTTTCTGCCTGGAAACTGAGAAATGTCCATGGCGACCACAAAAAGTGTCCCTTTAGGTCAAAAGCGGTTTTAGATCAGCTAGAGAACAGCGATAGTAAATCAGAACCACTTACAGAATTGAGGTGATAATGATTCGTGGGGGAAATTCGTCATCAGAAACTGAAAACGATTTTGCGACTGAGCTCAGCAATGTGCGAACTTGGCGCTCTATTTTCACATTTCAGTGTTTTTGGTTTGATTATATTATTGAATTAAATTTTTTATTATTTTTATATTATTTTTATGATTATTTATTAAATTATAATTTATGATTTTGTGTTTCAAATTTTTATCATACCCGGGGATGTTTACTAGACTCTTGTTCGGACAGAATTTCAGTGAGTTTTTCTCCTAAAAATTACAGCCTACAATAAAAAAAAATACATATTTTCCATGCAAAAAAATGGTACCCTCTTTCAGCACCAAAAATCTGAAATAATCATACCGCCAGGGAGGTTAAAAGAGCAGTGCGGACAGACAGCCCAGAAATCTCAAAGAAACTGGAAGACTTTTGTAAGGAAGAATGGGCAAAGATACCTCAAACAAGAATTGAAAGACTCTTGGCTGGCTACAAAAAGCGTTTACAAGCTGTGATACTTGCCAAGGGGCAGTACAAGATATTAACTCTGCAGGGTGCCCAAACTTTTGCAGACGCCATTTTTTTGTTTTCTGTTATTTTGAAAGTGTAAATGATGGAAATAAAATCTAACTTTTGTTGACATATTATAAGAATGTCTAATCTGTAATTTGATGCCTTTTGGAGATTTTTCCATCCTTTCCTTGGCTTCTTTATGCACATTAATACAAATTTTTAGCTGGGGTGCCCAAACTTTCGATCCCCCACTGTATAGTGCCAATCATCAGTCTGCATGCAAACGTGGCTCCATGGGAAGCTGTAAAGGAATGGAGCCTCCAAAAACAGGAATGAGAAAAGAGCAGTTTTGGAGAGATCTAATGCCAGACAACAACAGACTGAGCACAGACGATGGATGGTGTCCTAAGGTATTTCCTCTCAGATCTGACCAAGGCATCACTGAGCTCCTGGACTGCTGAGGTGCAACCTGGCGGCGTCAGATGGACCGAAACAGAGGTGTTCTATTGGATTTAGGTCAGGAAAGCATGGGGGCCATTCAGTGGTATCAATTCCTTCATTCTCCAGGAACTGCCTGCATACTCTTGCCACATGAGGTCAGGCATTTTTGTGCACCAGGAGGAACCCAGGACCCCCCTGCACCAACGTAGGGTCTGACAATGGGTCCAAGGATTTCATCCTGATACCTAATGGCAGTCAGGGTGCCATTGTCTAGCCTGTAGAGATCTGTGCGTCCCTCCATGGATATGCCTCCCCAGACCATCACTGACCCACCACCAAAACGGTCACGCTGAATGATGTTACAGGCAGCATAACATTCTCCATGGCTTCTCCAGACCCTTTCACGTATGTCACATGTGCTCAGGGTGAACCTGCTCTCATATGAAAAGCACAGGGCGCAAATGGCGGCAGTGAGAACAGGACCCACCAGAGGACGTTGGGCCCTCAGGCTACCCTCATGAAGTCTGTTTCTGATTGTTTAATCATAGACATTCACACCAGTGGCCTGCTGGAGGTCATTTTATAGGGCTCTGGCAGTGCTCATCCTCATCCTGTTCCTCCTTGCACAAAGGAGCAGATACTGGTCTGGCTGAAGGGTTAAGGACCTTCTACGGCTCTGTCCAGCTCTCCTAGAGTAACTACCTTTCTCCTGGAATCTCCTCCATGCTCTTGAGACTGTGCTGGGAGACACAGCTAACCTTCTGGCAATGGCACATATTGTTGTGCCATCCTGGAGGAGATGGACTGCCTGTGCACCCTCTGTAGGGTCCAGGTATCAACTCATGCTGCCAGTAGTGACACTGACTCTAGCCAAATGCAAAACTAGGGAAACACTCAGAAAAGATGAATAAAAAGTCAGTGGCCCCCACCTGTAAAACTGTTCCTGTCTTGGGGCTAATCTCATTGTTGCCCATCTAGTGCACCTGTTGTTAATTTAATTAACACCAATGCAGCTGAAACTGATTAACAACCCCCTCTGCTACTTAACTGACCAAATCAATGTCCCAGGAGTTTAGTCGACTTTATGCTATACTCTGATTAAAATGTGTTCCTTTAATTTTTTTTGAACAGTGTACTTTCCAGCACTGCTATCTGTACACCTGGCCATATGTTACATACTCCTAAACCCTGCACTATATACAATATGTTGTACATTACATATTCCTGATCCCTACACTCTATTTTCTATATTTTAAGTCTGTAACAAAGCATTTATGGTTTCTACATTTGCCAGTTGCTATGTAGTCCCTGACTATTTTAATGAAGTTCTGTTTTAATGTAGGCTTTTCAGATTTCCAGGGACCAACCTGCCCCATTTTCCAAGAGTCTGTTTTAGGTGAGTTGAGGGTAGTTTCCAACTAAAGTTGAGGGTAGTTTCCAACCAAACTCTTGTGTGAGAGTCCCTGGGGAACACCAGTTGCCCCTTAAACTGCACTTTCAGGGGAAGCAGTTGTGATGAGGTAAGGGGTCTACTTCCACAACCCACATCAATCTGAGGTAAGGGAATTATCCCACACTTCATGACAATAAGTGATGTATAATGTAATAAGTGATGTAATGGCCATATTGATTTGGATAGAGCAGAATGGGTAAATCCCCTGCCAGATTGTTCATATTTTTTGTTGTCTGTTTCCCATTGCAAAGCTTTTCTTTTATTTCTTGTCTTGAAGACGCAAAAGGAACTGAGAAAAAAAATATCGAAAAACATACAGTTGCCACCAGAACAAGCATTGATAATGGAATTGATACTCTCGCCTCCTGTTACTGGTGATAGTTGTAAAATGTTGGGTTTACCATTGCTTTTTGTCATATAAAACATGTATATATTTTAACAAAGAGGAATTTTAATCTATATGTATTTTGTAATTGGATATGTGCTACGTTGTGCATAATCCAGGCCCTTTTTTCAAAAAAATTAAATAAAAACTCTGTGTGGCCCTAAATTCTTTATTATTCCTCCTAAATGTTTTGCTTTATTACTAGTATTCTTATTATATTGTTTCTATGTTTTATTTGTTTCGGCTAAACAAAAAAATACCTACTTGTCCAATAGGAGGTTTGGAGCAAATGAAAGTTTTCCTGGAAAATCCACAGAGCGCCAGATTAAACCCACCATGAGGATTTCAAGCCAAGCACATTCCAAGAGATGTACTTGGTCATGAAGGCTTAAGTCCACAAAACCTGCAACAAAAAGAATCTACATTAATAACAAGTTTGTTGATAGAATTGCATAAGTTATACCAATTTGTCAGATTTCATTTGGTTTATGTATTGACATAAAACTAGATATTAAAACTGTCTTTATCAATGATTCATCCAGCATACTCTTAATGTGCTTGCAGGGTAAAAAAAATCTATGGCCGATCACATTTTTTTCAACAATGACCTTATAGGATTTTTTTGTAGATTATAAAAAAAAAATGCTCCCTTTCAAGTCCCACATACGTTGAACATTTTTCATCTGAAAACACATCCTGTAAAGAATCCAAATTGAAATAATATTTCATACAACCTGTCCCTTCCTCTTCATCACTGCCACAGTGATTGATGAAGAAGTCTGACTAGAAGCCGACTATCCATCATGGTTATCAGTGACTGCAGGAATAATAAATCATGATGATGACTGAGAAGCCGATTAATGAGGAAAAAGGGGTAAGAGCTTGGTACCCCTTACCACAGTACTTCTCCCACTGGATGGTGTAATGGTGTTTCATATGCTGTATGACAGCTGCTCCTGCTTAGCTTACTTACATTGAGTACAATGTATATATCATCGAGTGTACAGAAAAATTGCTAGATTAGAGATACCAAAGTAATTTGATTGCTGCTCTGTAACCCCTGGGGACAGAGTCTATTATAAATCTAGTACCCTGAGAGTGAAAGTCTAATGCAGAATCACTGACAACAGAGCTGCCCACTAAAGAAGTAGCACTGTGTCCTGGTCATTTTGTAATTTTGGTTATATGCTACTATGGATCATTCCTCTTCTTTATTTTACTTCATATCATTTTGAGCACCTTTCCTAGTCCTGTCCTTTTTCTATAAAATTCATCATCTACATTATCATGATCACTTAACTCAAATTCAGATGTGTTTTAAAATATCAACTAATACCCGTAATAATAGTTTTACTAGCTGTAAGGAAGAATGCATTTTTCTGCCAAACAGAATGGATGTTTCATCACTACAGCCCTCCACCGATCTGGGCTTTATGGCAGAGTGGCTAGACAGAGGTCTCTCCTCAGTGAAAAACACATGAAAGCCCACTGAGAGTCCTTCAGGTCTTTTTTTGAAAACTCGGAGCAGGCTTTCATGTGTTTTGCACAGAGGAGATGCTTCCGTCTAGTCACTCTGCTATAAAGCCCAGATCAATGTAGGACTGCAGTGATAGTTGTCCTTCTGGAATTTTGTCTCATCTCCACACAGGATCTCTGTTTCTCAGTCAGAGTGACCTTCGGTTCTTGGTCACCTCTCTTACTAAGACCTTTTTCCCCCAATTGCTCAGTTTGGCTGGGCAACCAGCTCTTGGAAGAGTCCTGTTTGTGGCAAACGTCTCCCATTTGAGAACTATGCCCTTGGGAACCTTCAGTGCAACAGAAAAGTTTCCCCAGATATGTGCAGATATTCGCCAGCACACCATGGATCTTCAAGTGTTGTCCAAAACTTTTATTGCAGAAAGATCACATCACAAAAGAACAGGTGTTCATCTCATCACATGCCCGACGAAAGAGTCCTGCGTGGCCCTGAAATGTTGTACCTGTTCTTTTGTGAGAACTTTCTGCAATAAACCTTTTGGACGACACTTGAAGATCCTTGATGTGCTGGCAAATATGCACATTGATCTGTGATGTTTCTAGTATCCAGCTGGTAGTTGCTGCAGCACCTATTACTGATGAACCCCAAGAATGTGTGTGATGGGAATATAGACAAGATTCCCCAGATCTGTGCCTTGCAATAATCCTCCAATTAACAGCATCCAATTAACCTACCAGCATGTGTTTGGAGTGTGGGAGGAAACTCACATAGACACAAGGAGAACATGCAAACTCCAGGCAGGTGGTGCCATGGTTGGGATTCGAACCAACAACCCTAGTACTGCCAGACAGAAGTGCTAACCATTTATCCACTGTGCTGCTCATTAAAAGCCAGCCCAAGTTCTTTGACAATATAAAACTTCATCCCTGTTGGATCGCCTCAGTGTGATTTGTGTGTTTTACTTTCCCTCCCCCCTTTTTTCCCCCTCATACTTCTCTCTCATCCCCCCCCCCTCCTTCCCCAAGACCAGCCCCCTGCCTCCATCTTCCTCCCTGTAGTGCTAATCTCTCTACAGTCTAGTTTTTTTTTATTATTTGACCAATTTATATTTATCTCAATGGTTGATTTGACATATATGTGTAGATATAATTAATGTATTGTGTTATTTGTCAGCTGCACTTGCTATAGAGAGTCAACAACTAAGTGGATCCTGAAGAAGTTCTTCTTGAGCGAAATGCGTTGATCGATTTGTTCTACCTCATGCTTGTCTCATTGTACATTTTTCATGTTGGAATTGCAGCTGATGAAACAATTTTTTTAAACCAAGTCAGCCCCTAGCCATTTCTGGCACTTTTTGTTCACATTTTAAAATCAGGGTTTTTTTTTGCCAGAAAATGCCTTAGAACCCTCAAACATTATATATTTTTAAAATCAAAGGCCCTAGAGAATACATTGGTGGTTTTTGCATTTTTCTTTTATATCCTGTGGTATTTGCACAATGGTTTTTGAAGCACAATTTTTGGGAGAAATATTTTGCAAAAAACACAATACATAACCCAATTTTTTGGGTTATAAAAGATGATGTTATCCTGAGTAAATAGATACCAAACATGTCACGCTTTAAAATTGTTCATGCCTTTACAGGTTACCACTTTAGATTACGGAGGTCACAACCATCTAAAGTCCAGTGACACAAGGGTATGACGCTGGTCCAAAAGTGGTTAATGTGTCTATTTTAATATTGTACATCTCTGATGTGTTGGACAAAGATTGAGAAATATTCACTGCAATGTTGTTGAGACTTTGTTCAAATAAGTGTTTTGTCTTCATAATCACTTTTTAAAAACCCAGGAAAGACACACTAAAAAATAATAAGGGAAAATAAACTGTAGGAGAGGAAAGATCACTGCCAGCTCCCAATAACAGACTTTATAGGCACAACATGAGACATAAATGATAAAATCAAAATAAGTTTCTTGCGAATACAATCTCCTAATATGTAAAAAACTAGTAATACACATATAGACAATTAAAATCAAATAATTCAGAAATACCCTCTACTGGATTGGTATATCAGCTAGCCTGAACATATATGCACCCCTGCATGCTTGTATATGGACATATACATTGCATATACATTTGCATTTACAAATTTTTTTCCCCTTTTTGTTCTAGGGTTTTCGGGCTTTTTGAGTCCTGGCGTTTTTGTATTAGCCAAAAGAGAAAAATGTAATCTTTGACATCAATTGTTGCCATGTTTTTCCATGCCAGAGAAAAGCTCTTGGTTGCACAACAAAAAGCATGAAAGCACATAAAAAAATTAGCAATTTATGTGTTTTTAATGTATCTCTATGGGAATGAAAATGTAGCTCCAAAACTCTTTTGAGCTTCAGGCGTTCTGCTTCAGGCGACTTGGAATGGAGAGGTGAACCATCTCCATAGAGTAATATTGATTTTTTTTCTCCCTGAGCTTTTTGGAGCTTTGAGCTTCGGGCTACAAAACACTCAGGTGTGGATGAGCCTCATAGTATATTCATAGCAGCTAGAAATATAGATCCTCCACTCCCCCCCCCCCCCAAAAAAAAACGTAACTTTTACAAATGTACATGTTCCAGAGCTGGATATACAGTACTAGTGTTACTAATGTATTTGTGTTCACTATTAAATGCATTTGACGGAACTATATTTACCGTCCTACCTGCTGTTGAGCATGCGTTTAAAATTCTGAATGGATCACCCCCTCTAGGGACTATACTCAGCCCTCTTCTGGCCAGATCCTTAAATTAAAGACATTTGGAAATAATATGGAGACACATTGGGGAAAATTTCCCTTTTTTTCAATTTCTCTGAACAAATTAAGAATAAAATGTCAAAATCTACAAAAATAAGGAAAGGCCATAATTGGTGTTTCCTGCAAAGTAGAATATAGTGACATAGGGAGCAATGCATTTCTTTTAAAATCCTCAAGAGGCCACTCATTGGCTAGATTGTAATAAACAGTCTCATAGAAACTAGAGAAACTAGAGAGGCAGTTTCCCTTTTATTTTTTTAAAGCACACAAATAATTACAATTATTTCTTTTTGGACAAGCAAATAGTCACCCTTCTGATGCTTGTGTTATATAAGTGTTTTACATTCAGTGCCTTTTTAAGTTTTCTAAGTTTAAGAACCATACCATAATGATTCCTCTTATAATTTTTCAGAACTTTAATTATTTTTACTTGCTGACCATGTTTCCAGATATAGACAAAATTAGATGTAATTAGAATACTTGCAATCCAGTACCTGCACTAATGGACAGGAAGCAATTTCATAATCAGTCAGAAGTGTATGGCCCTAATACCAATGTAATGATCTGCTGCTCTCAGCTGTTAGCATTGCACAGTAATGTATAATTATGTATATCACTTCCTAACACTGGGGTTGTTGGGAAATTTCCTGGAAGAAGGAAGTGGAGTATCAAGTACCTGGTAAAGACTTAAATGTTATTGAGGCCTCTCTTGCACCTCCTGCCCAATACTCCTGAAGGTGAAGACAGAGTGTGAGGGCAAAGAGTGGCACGAATGCCGAAGTAGCTGGCTGGGGGTGTCCACTCTGTAGGTGGGTAGAACTGGTAGTCACAGGCAGAGCAAGTCTAGGAGGCAGGCCAAGGTCAGTAATAGCCAGGCAAAGCAGTACACAAACAGTAGGCAAAGGCACGTCCAGTAAACAGGGTGAGGTCAGAGTAATCAGCTGAACAGAGTTTAAGCAGGAGCCAAAGTGAAGTCCAACCGTAAGCCTGGTCATACACATGTAAGCAGGTACAGCGGATCAGGTCACAGGAACACAGGAACTAGTTGAGGACTATTTAGCAACTGCTCA